GTGATCTTGGGTCTTTCAAAGTTTCGAGATGCTATGAGAAAAATCAAAAACTAACAGGAAAATATACAGTCATTCCAAGTTTTATCAGATACTATATAAGAAACAGAAATGATGTTATGTTGAAGTAGACAGTTGCAGGAAGGTAGACAGAAAAAAATAAAAGAGATATTATGTAGGAAAAGGAGTTGTGGAAAATATCTCTTAGGCTGGGTTGTTTCTGATACTCTGTTCCTATGAAGAGACACCATGGCCAAAGCAACTCATAACTGTGGGATTGCTTACAGTTTTAAAGGGTTAATCCATTCCATTATTGAGAGAAGCATGACAGCAGACAGGCAAGCATTGCACTGGAGCAGAGCAGTAATAAGCACTGAGCAGTCTGTTCTGTAAACAGGAAGCAGAGGAATTGGGCCTGGCATGAGATTTTGAAACCTCAATGTTCAGCACTCCCAAGACACACTTCCTCCAACAAGGTTACACCTCCTAATTCTTCCTCAACAGTCCACCAACTGGGAACCAAACATTCAAGTACACTAGCCTATGGAGGCCATTCTTACTCAAACCACCACAGACTGACACAGAAGTTGAGAATGGAAGAGTGTAAGAAGTCAGCTAACTGAAGGAGTGGAAGAAATGGGTATTAGGCAAGTGGAACGAACGTAACAAGGCTCTGGTACCAAAAGAGTGGTTTCGTTTTTTTTTTTTTGAGAAATTAAAATAAGACACGCTGATGTATTTTTTAAGGTACAGCAGAAGGCATAAAGCAAGGAAGTAGAGTGATCTATTTTACATTTTTTAGTGATTATTCACTGTTTTATAATAAACAGCTGAAGCAAGGCTCCAAGTTGAAGAGAGACCAGGGAGGAGTGAATACTGAAGAGACAGTACATCTTCATTTTATAAGAAAATTCCCTTTGCTTTAAGGATAAATAGAAGTTGGGGTTCAATATAGAATAACTGGCTAAATTTGCAGCTGACTGAACAAGAAGAATGTGCAGAGAACACTAATGTAATGGTTTGACCTGACCTCATCTTAGTGAAGTTCTCCATGACACACATTATGTCATGGTCAACACATACTAGTTATAACAGTAAATATATAGCCATGACATTTTCTGCTGATCTTGAGTTAGGAGGGCAATCAATATCTAAGATAAATAAAATACATCTAACTTTATGTGGTGTTGAATCATACCCAGGACCTCACGCATGCTGGCAAGCACTCTGCCAACTGGTCTGCACCCTGACCCTATTTCTAGTTCTTAAGAGACAAAACTTTACTCGGAGGCTTAGAATGGCCTGGAACTCAGTATGTAGCGAAAGGTGGCCTGAAAGTCATGGATGTTTTCCTGCTTTGGCTTCCTAAGTGCTGAGAGTCCATGCATTAATCACCATACTAATTTGACGAAAGCTAACTACATGAAACACTTCTACCACACATAAGGGTTTTGAGCCAGTGTTCTGAGCTCAACTCTGACATGTCAGTCTGAGTAGGCTGGGAGAGAAAACACGCAGGTTTGAGTTGGGAGAAAGCTAATCTCACCCTCAAGAAAGGAATGCATAATGTCCCTGGAGATACCATTATTTTGGAAGGAGAGGTGAAAAGAAATATATTTAAAACAATTTCAAATGTGATAAAACAAAGGACTACTCCTGAGAAGGGACATATAATGGAGGAAAACACTATATTCTGAATTTAGTTTAATAACATGAGATATTAGATAAGCTGTAAACTAACAATAAAGTTATACTATGAGACTAGCACTTTTTGAAAATGAACAGTATGGCCACTATATTAGCTCTAGTGGAAGCTCACAGCATGGCTATATTAGCTTCTAGTGTCCTCTGCAAAGGTCATAGCACATGTAAAGAATTGTAGACCTATATATAGAGCCATAACTTCATAAACAAATATACACAAGAGTCTATTGTCAAGAAGATAATTGCCCATTAAAGACTCCAAGAAAAAATAAATTATGGGATAGGATATGGTTTCAGGACTAACTAGTTTCATGGAGCAAGAACTGGAAAGGGACTGGAGAGATGACCCAGCAGTTAAGAACACTGCCTGTTCTTCCAGAAGAGCCAGGGTCCATTCCTAGAACCTACATGACAGTTTATAACTGCCTGTGACCACAATTCCAACAGATCCAATAATCTCTTCTGGATTCTGGGAATTTCTTGCATATAGTATTCTGACACACATGCAGACAAAACATCCATAGACACAAAATGAAATGAATGATTGCAAGCAACAACTCTGTAGTAGAAAGATTTGACAGGTGCTTATACCACTAGTGATATAGGATGAACAAAGTGGATTTCAAATACACCAAATATGAAAATGCATCAAAAAGTAAAACAAGGAACTCCTCTCTGGGGTGAGCTATTCTATTCTATCTAAATAACTATCTTTGAATATAAAATCCTATCTTCATAATATTTTTATAATAAAAAAGGTCTGTACTTTTATAAAAGCATAGTCTTGAGAGGTGGTAGAAATTTATTTTTTAAATGTCTACTAGAAAGTCAATTTGTTGGTAATAGTATACTTCTCCCTTTTTGGTGTTAAAAGTTTGCTACAAAAATCCAAAAATATTAGAGTCACAGAGTGGCAATTCATTGAACAATGAGATTTCCCACTATGCTGAACACCTATGATTGTATAATTGTTTTGTCAAATAAACCTAATGAGATTCATCTGTCATTACAAAAAAAGTGAGTACAGATACTAGCTTGTATTAAAGTAGAGGAATATGCACTTTGGTTCTGTGGCCCTTAATCAGATGTATTACCCTCCTATTATTCTGCTTACCTAAGAAAATTGAAGACTATCTCAGGAGACATTTACAAACATGTAGCTGCAGAATCTGATATCTATAAAATTTCTAGAAAATTCATTTCTCAATGAGTAAAAATGCCATCAAAAAGCAATAAAAGATTAAGTGCTGAATATTATAAGAGGTATATTTGATATTCTGTTCCCAGAGAGGGTTTTGTTAATGAGAATATTCTACAGTGACACTACCAACAGAGTTAGTAATTATGAAACCTTTGATATTAATCTACTGCTATACAAGTTGAGATTTTATACAAGGGAATATATAATCATAGGCAAATACATACACCTTTAAGATTGTACCTGAACTCCTGGAATCCAGTGACAGAAAGGGAGAACTGATGAGCAAAGGGGTTAAGACAGGGCAGTTTAACCCACAAAAGTAGTTGACCTGAATAAGGGGGAGCTCTTGGGCCCAATGGAAAGCATGGAACTGATCCAGACCCCCTGAATGTGGCTGTCAGTGAGGAGCCCTAGGTAAACTATGGGGCCCTGGGTAGTATTTATCCCTGTCATACAAATGGACTTTGGCTGCCCATCCCACAATGAGGGATGCTCTCTCAACCTGGACTCTTGGGGGGAAGGCCTAGGCCCTGTCCTGAATGAAATGACAGACCCTCCATGGAGGGCCTCATCCTCCCTGGGGATTGGAGTAGAGATTGGGTGGGGTACTGGGGGGTCTTGTGGGGCCAGAGGAGGAGGGGAGGGAGAGGGAGCCAGGATTGACATATGAAGCAAACTTGTTTCTTTTTTTGTAATGTTTTTATTTAAATTAGAAACATGAATGCTTCATATGTCAATCCCAGCTCCCTCTCCCACCACTCCTCCCTTGTCCGTCCACCAGCTTTACAGCCCCCCACCCAATCCCTACATCATTCCCCAGGGAGGGTGAGGCCTTCTTTGGGGGGATCTCCAAAGTTTGTCATTTCATCCAGGGTAGGACCTAGGCCCTTTACCATGTGTCCAGGCTGAGAGAGCATCCCTCTATTTGGAGTGGGTACCCAAAGATCATTCATACACCATAATAAACACTGATCTACTACCCAAGGCCCCAGTGATTTCTGTTGCCTCCTCACTTATACTACATTCATGGAGTCTGGATCAGTCCCCTGTTGGCCTCTCAGGCATCAGTCTGGGATTCAAGAGCTCCCCCCTTATCCGGTCAGCTGTCTTTGTGGGTTCCACCATCATGGTCTTGACCCCTTTGTTCATCACTCCGCCATCTCTGTCACTAGGTTCCAGGAGTTCAGTTCAGTGTTTAGCTGTGGGTATCTGTCTCTGCTTCCATCAGTCCCTGGACGAAGGTTCTAGGATGGCATATAAGGTAGTCATCAACCTTACCATCAAGGAGGGGCATTTAATGTAGTCTCACCACTATTGCTTAGGCAAACTGGTTTCTACTTTAAACAAAAAAAAAAAAAAACGAAGAAAAAAAAGATTGTAGTTAAACAGCAGTTCTTGAGGTATCTGCAACAGAATGTGTGCTTACAGCTTCTGCCCCTGGATTTTGATTTTTGACTCTTTATTTCTAAAACCTACTTCCCTTCACACATGCAAAGATTTTCTTTAAGTAGCAGTCTTAAGATATGGTGATATATTTTTAAGTGTTCTGATTTGGTATATAAACATAAAAGGTGAATAATATTGTACCCCTATTTTACATTAGTGGATTTAATTTTTTTTACTGTATTAAAAAAAAGAGAGAATTGCATGCTTTACTGTTGAATTGACAACCAAACTATGCCTCTACTCCAAATGGTTAAAATACTTCTTTATGAACTACTAGATTGCTGGTAGTTCAGTTGCCTTTTTACATATGCTCTTTTCAATGTCCGTAGGTATTGCATGCATGAATTTATTATGTGTAAACTGTAACATGTGTAAACTTATGTCTGTTTAAAGCATTCTATAATCAAATGATCATATAACCAAATGATCACATAACCACACTATCTCAAGACTTATGAAACATACCACTTCCCTCTCATGTTTATAGTTAATTACTCACATAAAATATTTTCTAAATATTAATAAAAGATAGAATTATCATTGCCACACTCTAATCCATGGGGTCTTTCAGATGGTACTGTTTGTAAAGTGTATTCACACAGTGTACAAAAGCTCAAAGAAACATTTGGGGTGCAATATAATTGCTACTTACAAGCAAACCGAAGCTTTGCTTCTCTGCTTACAATTGTTCCAAACGAGTTTGTTGCTATGCACTGGTACGTTCCAGAATCTTGGGTTTTATTGGGGTTATTGATCAACAAGCTGCCTTCAACAACACTGTAGCGGAAATCCATACCAATGTCAACATCTGTTCCATTTAACTTCCACCTATAGTACAAAAATGCCAGTAGATAAAGCCTTGTAATATAAATCAATATTTTTGAATTGTCTAAAATAGATAAAAACTATGAAGACCATGAAATATCATCTGTGAACTTTTTGAAGCATGGTAAAAACAAATATTAGAAACTATCTAGCCAGAAATGGTGACATTTTAAGTAGTTATAGAGAAAGAGAACCGTCCTTCATAGCAAATGATGAAAATCAAACTATCACATGTCTCATGACAATGTAGGATGTTACAAATAATTATTTCTTAAAGGGAACAAAATTTTCCACATGGTTTTCTACATCTTTCCTCAAAATAGGGCTCCTCAATTAGAAGTCATTTTTCTGTTTAGCAATCCCAGTTTAAATAGATATATTAAGAGGACAGAACATGCCACTTTCAGGGAGACAGCAGAAGAGCTGCTGAAATTGCCACTGAGTTCTTAACATGACTGAAGTGCCTGGATGCAACGCAAAGGAGCTCTATTGATCTGAGATGCTTTAGGGACCAAATCTGCCTGACCATGGATCAACTGGATGATCTCTTTAGTTACTGGCACTGAAAATGTCAATCAACTGACCCAGTAAACTGCAGGCTATTAAGTTACCAAAGCAAAGAATGTTTTCTTGTCCTTCTGTTCATTTACTGGGGTCACCTGTGTATCTGACTGTAGTAGCACACCCAGTAAATTAGTTTTCTGGGGACTTATATTTCAGTAGATAAGCTTTGGTATGAATATCAACAATTTTGTTCTCAGAGTCACTAACATCCAAAGAACGAGGGCTTATCTGAGTCAAATTACCTTTCAGGAATTCATGGGAATTCATATAAACTTTTGAACTAATATAATTCAATGACTATTTTTTGATACCTTGTGAATTACCAAGGCTCTCATAGGAGCTGAAAACATAAGAAAGATTGTAGCACAAAGGAAATTGATTCAAATGAATAAAGGGAGCAGAAATTGAGAATTATTCATTTTACTTTCTTAAAATAACAAGAGCCATTACTTAAATAGAAACACGCATGTGTATGCCCACCCGTTGGGCAATCCTTGATAATATCCCATGCATTGTGGTTATGAATGTATAATATGCTAGAATTTCAATGATAAAATTGTCAGCCTGCCAGTTTCAAATTATACACACAAGTGGGGAGTGTGTGTGTGTGTGTGTGTGTGTGTGTGTGTGTGAGAGAGAGAGAGAGAGAGAGAGAGAGTGAGTGAGAGGCAGAGACAGAGAGACAGAGACAGAGACAGAGAATTTCAGAGACATGGTCTCATGCCACTCAGGCTGACTTCAAACTCCCTTGGTATTTAAATAACCCCAAACTTCTGATTCTCCTTCATCCATCTCCCAAGTGCTGGAATTACAGACTTGAGGACTGGAGACAGTACATGAGCACCAAAGTCAATCTCAGAGCACATGTCTTCTGGTGGTGCTCTTTGTTTTAAATTCAGCACTAGGGTGGTAGAGGCAGGCAGACCCGTGTGAATTAGAATCCAGTCTGGTTTGCATAGCAAACTTCAGGCCCAGGGTTAAATATAGAGACTATCTTAGAAAGAATAAAAAAAGAGCAGTGTTGGGGGGCACATCTTCCAGTCAAATTCTTGTCCATCTTTCCAGTCAAATTGTATCATGTTCCATCAGATATCCAGTGGAAGTTCTATTACTCCTTCATGCAAAGACTTCTTTTTTTTTTCTTTCTTGTTTTTGTTTTTTGTTTTTACGAGACAGTGTTTCTCTGTATTGTTTTTGAGGCTGTTGGTCCAGCCCAGCCTCGAACTCACAGAGATCCGCCTGCCTCTGCCTCCCGAGTGCTGGGATTAAAGGCATGCGCGCCACCAACACCCGGCTGCAAAGATTTCTTTTGCCACAAGACAATTTACCTCAACCCCTTCCACACTCTGGCTTTCATCCATCTAGAACTTAACCCTCAGACTGTGCTCAGTAAACACTTGTTGAATTGAATGGATTCAAAATTGTGCCTCTCTAGTATATATTTGAGCTCTGAGCATATACATAATTCATGAAGCATGCTTGCCTCAGTCAGCACAGTCACATGAGTTTCCTCACATCCGTGTCTTTGAAGTATAAAAATCTAGAAACTGGAGGGCCAGCAAAGTGGGCTAGAAGCACAAATAGGACTTAGCTTTTTATGCATTTGTTTATAAGAAGCTGGGTATTAGAAACTGACAGTGTTTTGGGGCTCTGCAGTAATTCTCTCTGTGCTCTGACACAGACAAGAAAGTAATAAGCAATAAAGAGAACAGCCGCGTTACAGCCCAGTAGTGCTAGCAGCACATGAATCTCCAGAACTGCCTGCCTGCCCTACGCATTCGCTGTTAGTCAGCTGATCACGTCTTGGCCATAACTCTCACTTCAAATGATAGCACAGCAATTTAATATGACAAATCTAAGAACTCAAAGAGGAAATTGCAATACAGTGTGAGCTGCAAGCAGAGTATGGAATTTGGGAATGGGACCATGTGAGTCTTTTTTAGAAAACTGGATATGGGAGCAATGACACCTCTGTAGGTTTGTCTGCACTCATCACCTCAACCCAAAATGCCGTGCATAAAGTCCGTTCATCTACTTTATGGCCTGCTTTTACATACGAACAGCAACAGGGAAGGGATTATTTAGAAAATAAAGTGTTTTATGAGACATGTTACAAAGCAGACATGGTGTTTTACTACAATGCAGTCAGTGTTCATTCCCATTGACTGTGGATTGCATTGCGAATTTCTCATCTCGTTGCATAGTTTAGTTGAAATGCTCTTGAAAATCTGGCAATTTAGTTTCAGTGTTTGAGGAATCTTTTAAGTATTGGTAATGGAGAGGCAAGGCTCATTTAGAGTAAATAGATTTTCCCAGGGGGCAAGGCAAATTGGTGTCTTGTAAGCTGACTTCTCAATTACTTGGGGGAATCATGGCTGAGTTCTTTCAGAGAGCAGGCATGTACACAGGCAAATATGGCCACCTTGAACCTCCCCAAGGCATGTTTCCACAGATTGTGCTAGGAGTCTGTACAGATTCAGTGCAGAAAAACCTTCCCTGTTAACTGTTTGAACTTGACACTCAGGGAGGGGCAGCTCCTTTCTGACTTGGAATTGGCTCTCTGCAGACTCAGTTGAATACAAACTTCACAGCAAACCAACTCTAACCGAGTGTGTGTGAAAGCATCTTCCTTCTAGGAAGGGGTGCTGAGTGAAATAAGTAATGTCACCTGTCCTTAGGGAACTTGACTACAAGAGAAGTTGGCATGAGGCAAAACTTCTTAAGTTTTCTGGGTCGGGGTCAATCCTTTCAGAACTGATGGGCAGAAACAATGAAAAGAAAAGGCTCAGTTGAGGGAATAAATATGAAGAAAAGAGGTCAGTTAGGATGTCTTAGGAAAAACCTGCGGCTGAAGATCCCCACGGAGCACTCACTTTGGAAATTTTCCTACTTGTTCAACCCCCTGAAAGTCAACACCAAGACTAAGAAAGTTCAGCTAGCAAGGTGTTGGAAAACACCTGATCTCTCTATTCATTCTCTTGCTCTTTCATTCGACAACAGGGAGTTTTTAAGCTCCTGAGTCCAGACTTCTATTATGTCACAAGAAAACTGCTAGAGGGATTAAGGCAAGCACCAGTGCACTGCCTGGAATGGCTAATGCATTTGATTAAAAGCTCTCCTCAGCTTTCCCCTGCAATCTTTAAAAACATAATAGGTTTCTGTTCTATGGCTTGTTTTAAATAACAAGGCAAGCCCCTATATCTAGAAACACAATGTTACAAAGGCAATGTTAATTAAAGGTCACAGTTTGGGGAAAAACAATGCAGCAACTTGCCAAAATCTGCTGCAGAATTTGTTTTCATTTATCGCTAACATCTGAACTTACCCTTGGCTGTGTGCTCAAAGCAGGATCCGTTAACTTAACTTGTCATTTATGTATCTGAGCAACTTTGCCCCTTGCATGTATTTTTACTTTGCAGTGTGTTTTCAAATCATTAACTTAGCATTGAATTTACTGGATTACACACAGAAAGATGGTGCCTTCTGGCTCAGTCAGGACAGGCTAGGGTTAGGGTTACGGTTAGGGTTAGAGTTAGGGTGATGCTCTAGAGTAATTATTAACACTGTTCTTTTTTTTTTTTCAAACCTGTCCTGTGTCAGAAGATACATGCCATACTCACTCAATTATCCAGTCCACTCTAATTATTTGTTGTCTACTTTCTAGAATGTTCATCCTTTCTTTATCCATGTGGCAGAGCTGGTGGCCTTTCTTAAGGACATACAACATCCCCTTTTCTTTGAAGCCTTCACTACATTTACCCACTACTTCTAGCTTTTTTTTTTAATTCCCTGAGCAAGCTGGTGGTTTCATGGGTGCCCCAGGCATGCCATGTCAGGACGGTAGCCCTTTCCAGCACTCACTTCCATTCCCCAACTCTTATGTTTTCTCTGTATCCTGTTCCCCCCGTGTTTCCTGAGCCTGGAAGGGTTGTATAGATGTATTTTATTCACTCTTGCAGTAATTTTATTAGTATTACACTTGAGTATAGATAAAATCAGTTGCATAAAATGTATTTTGCAAGGGATCATGAGACAATAATGACCTATGTTTAGTAAAGTGAATAGTATTTACTACTGAGGATTCCTGTGATCGCTTTGATTGATAGCATTCCTTTATCCATGTATAATCTTCAGTTTCATTCTCTTCATGTTTTAAATGATGATTTGTCATGGGTAATTCTGAATGTATCACCCCACCAAATTTTAATCTGGCCTATGTGGGCTAAAAGTTTATGAAAATTAACAGAACTAAGAGGTTCATCTGAACTTCATTCAGTTTATAAGAAGCAGGTGGTGAAATTGCCCAGTGGCTGACACCATTCCAAAGCCAGAGTGGGATGATGAGCACAAGCATCATTGCCGTTTGCCTTTGTTGTGATTTAACAAGTTGCTTCAAGATCCTGCTGCTGTGAATTCCCATCATGCTGGACCATACCCTTGAACTGTCAACCAAAATAAACCCTTTCTCCCCTGTGTTACTTTGGTCAGGGTGTTTTACCACAACAACTAGAAAACTAACAAACGTACCATAATTTCCTTAGACCTGATCAAATATTGTTTTCTATTTGGTTACTTGTTTATCACGTTTTGATTTTGGGCAATTCTTTACCTATTGTTGATATCAATTCTTTACCAATAAATTTTTTTATTAAACATATCATCCTAATACTGTAGCGTATGGTTTTGTTCAGCTCAGAATATTCCATTGAACAGAATATTTAATGAAGTTAAAGTTTTTAAAAACTGATTTGTACTTTTCCTGTCATACTAAAAAGTCTTTTCCTCCCCCAAAGTAATAAATATGTACGTCTGTTTTCTTTCTTCTTTAAAAATGTCCCATTTAGGGCTTTTATTAACCTGAAATTGATTTCTGTGTGTAATGTGAAGCAGAGATCCAGTTTTATTTCTTTCTTTAACCACATGGGCAATCCACTGTCCAGGGCAAGAGTTTTCAAAGTACTTCCATTCCTGTCATGAATTTTAACTTTTCTTCTCTTGATTTTCAGAAGAAAGTATTCTCTTTATTATCCAGGGTTAGGGCAATCAATTTTATATGGAATTACCCTCACATCGCTTTGTTTAATCCTGTCTTTTTATAGCTCAGGTCTTCTCTCTGGGATAATTTTTATCCCATCTCAAAGATGCCTTTTAGAATTTCCTTAAGTGAGATTGAGTAACAATCAAAATAAAGTGTTTGTCTGCTACAGAAATTCGTATTATGTTCTCCTTTATAGGAATTTTTAATAATTCATAAAATTTACACATATTTATGAGGAATAATGTGAAAAATTGACATATATATGAGATACAATATCAAATTAGAGTACTCTGCAGTTCATGTTAAGAATGTTAAAATGTGGATTTTATTTATTTACTCTTTCTTATTGAAACTATTTTTATTTTAAAAATTGTTATTACACTAATTTATTTATTTTTGAGACAGGTCCTCATGTACCCCAGGCTGACCACAAACTGCTAAGATATTTGTAGACAATTTGAACTTTTTAATTTTTTCTTTCTTTTCCTATGCAGTGGCTTGTAAATTGTGGCCTTACAGTTGTCTCTGCTTCTGGATGTCCAGTTCAGGGCTTCATACACACTGGATAGCCACCCTAGCTAATGAGCTATATCCCAGGTAAGAAGAAAGGAAGGGAAAGAATTGTTTAGTCCTGGCTTATTTCATTATCCCAAGTACCATGGACTGAATCTAAGGCCACATACATGCCACGCAAGTATACCATCACAAAGCTACATTCTTAAATCTTTCTTCTAGTCATTTTCAGTTGCATGATAGATTGTCATAATCCATCTTCAATGGATTTACTAATTAGCCCTGCTTTCTGTATTTTGGATCATGTTTCCCAACCTCTTTCTATTTTCTGTTGCTTCTTCCTTCATGTTCTCTGGCAACCACTCAAGTATTTCTATAAGATCAACACTTTAGCTTCAACACAGAGGTAAGAACATGAAGTATCATTCTATGTATGGCTTATTTCACTTAATGTAATGTTCTGCAGTACCACCCACGGGGTAAGAATGACAGGACAGGTTTTCATTCTTTTTGTGACTGAATAATCTTGTGTTATGTATGAATTACATTTTCTTCACCCTTTCATCTGTTGATGTATACCCCAGTGGATTCCATATTCTGGCCACTTGTTTTTGTTGTTGTTGTTGTTTTTGTTTTGTTTTATTTTGTTTGTTTTTTTCCGCTGAAGCTGCAGTGGACAGTGGATGATTTTAATTATTGTTGCAAAATCTGACCCTTCTAACAGTTGTTTCTGCCTCCTTCTTTTCTGTTTTTCATTCTGGAACCCAAGATGGCTGACTCAGACCAAGACCCTCCTCCTCTCTCCAGGTCTCTGACTCCCCCTCCACATTCTGCTTCTCTTCACCTCTTTCTGATGCCTTGGTTTGCTTTCTGAATGTCTGTTATGCACTTTAACAATTCTCTTTATAGACTCATCACATTTCATTTGAAAATACTGAGACTCAAGGTCTAAAAGAAATGATTCCTAATACTTTATTGTTCTTGAACCAGAGAATCTGATACTTAGTTAACATTCATTCTAAATGTGGAATCCTTGTATCTCTCTGACTCATTTTGGAAAAATGTTCACTTGTTAAGGACTTCTGAAAGTCTAGACTTTGTCTTACAACTCTGGTCCTGGTGAGGTTGCATAAAATAGTGTCAGATCCTATTTGTTCATGTAGCAAGTACTGATGTTTCTAAATCCACGCACTTCCTATTTTCCTACTAGCTTACTGACAAAATTAAAAATTGTATTTTTATTAAGTCTATGTTCTTTGAAATTGTTAATTTTCAAAAGGAAGGCTATTCAGGATATCCAATCCTTAATGCTGTCAAACACACAAGTTTGGCATCCTTCTCTTTTTTCCCAAGAAAGAGTCTTTCCTTCTAGTATCTCAGAGTACTTTACAACGCCTGCCTAAAAACTCTTTACTCTTCACTAATCTTTGAGTAGTTACCAATTTTACTTTTAATAATACAAACTATATGCATGAGAACACATTGTTTTTTGGGGACCAGGGTCTCAATATAGAGCCCTGGGTGGCTTGAAACTCACTATGTAGACCAGATAGGCTTAACTTCACATGGAAATCACCTGCCTCTACCTCTCTGGTGCTATGATTGAAGGCACATGCCAGCATGCCAGTCTGGAGACAGATTCTTAAATCAACACACCTGATGTGAGGTTTTGGATTCCCTTTAACTTCACAACTGAGTTTCACTTTCTTCTCTTCTGAATCCAAAGGAAACATTATATTACTTGGTTCTTGAATGAAAACTGGGCCATGCAGGGTGTAATCATCTGAAAGAAGAAGAGAAATGGTCCTCATTGAAGACTACCTTTCTAACCGGAACAACATTCAGAATCAATAAGACAATGAGAAAAAATAACAAACAAAAAACAGGGATGCCCAAGATTCTATCTCACTTTCATGGTGAAATTTCCCATTGAATCATAACCTCCTAGCGGTATTAATGAAGTTAAGAGAGGGCTCCCCTGTCGTATGCTGACCACTTTCGTCACTAACAGCTTCCAGACACAAGCTGCCTGGCATCTTCCCTAGTTTTGTTGTTGCCTTATTGTTCCATCTGCATTGGCCCTGTCTTCTATTTTGATCACATTTGTGCTTCATACATCCCTTTTGTGCTGCTGTCATTTTGGAAGGCTATCCAATGGCACAAAGTTAACAATTTCCCCCTTTGTAATTAAATCCTGCAATTGGAAACAATAATACATTTTAAGAAAATAAAATATTAATAATAAAGAACAGCTCTGTATTGAACACATACTTAAATCTATATTGAACCCCCCACACACACGAAGGCTACTTAAAATGATTATGCAGGCAAATAAAGAAAAAGTCTGTAGATCTCATTCGTAAAATGATCTATAGCTGTTATACATAGCAAAGGCAAACTGCCATGCATTTCCAAATCTTGTTATTGAAGAAGAAAGACTAAATGTGTGACAGTCATTTTGTCATGGAATAATAACAAAGCCCTTAGAATAAGCTACATACCTGTATAGAGTATTAGAGTATATATGTACAAACATTGGTCAAATTACACTTCACTACGTATGTCCATGGAAAATTCATAGGCTTTTCATTTTTCAAAAACATCTGCAAATTCTATCCTTTCTCCGAGGTTTTTAGGCCTTTATCTTTTTTACAACCATATACTGTTAAAGATGATTTTCCTATAAGATGCCAATCTGTTTCTATCAAGGCATTGCAGCTTTTCTTTTCTCTTCTTTGAATCATAGTTTCCCTAGAGAACGATGACTGGTTTTGTGTGTCAACTAGGTATAAGACAGAGTCTTCAGAGAGAAAGAAAGTTTACCAAATGCCTCCATGAAAGCCAGTTGTAAGGCATTTTCTCGATTGTTGATCAATGAGAGGGTTCAGCCCATTATAGGTGGTGCCACCCCTGGGTTCTATAAGGAAGGAGGCTGAGCAAGTCAGGGGAAGCAAGTCAGTAAGCAACATCCCTCCATGGACTCTTCATCAGATTCTGCCTCCAGGATCCTGCCCTGTTTGTGTTTCTGTCCTGACTCCCTTTACTGATGAACAGCAATGTGGAAGTGTATGCCAAATGAATCCTTTCCTCCCCAACTTAATTTTTGGTCATGGTGTTTCCTCAAAGCAATAGAAATACTAACTAGGACTTGCATTTTGACTCCCCATGTGGTGGTAAGTACAGTTGTCCATAAGGATATGTCCTATTTGAAATGATTTTTTGTAATGTTTTTATTTAAACAGACAATTTATGCTGGAGAGGATGTGGAGAGAGGGGAACACTCCTCCACTGCTGGTGGGAGTGCCAACTGGTAAAGTCACTTTGGAAATCAGTATGGAGATTCCTCAGGAAAATGGGAATCAATCTACCACAAGACCCAGAAATTCCACTCTTAGGCATATATCGAAAAGATGCAAATTCATACAACAAGGATATCTGCTCCACTATGTTCATAGCAGCATTATTTGTAATAGCCAGAACCTGGAAGCAACTTAGATGCCCCTCAACTGAAGAGTGGATAGAGAAAATGTGATACATTTACACAATGGAGTATTACTCAGCAGAAAAAAACAATGGAATCTTGAAATTCTCAGGTAAATGGATGGCACTAGAAGAAACGATCCTGAGTGAGGTAACCCAGTTACAAAAAGATAAACATGCTAAGTACTCACTCATATATGGATTTTAGACATGGATCAGGATAGTGCCAGTCTGCACTTGCACTGACAGTGAGTCTGGGAAACAGGAAAGAACCTAAGAGAGATATGCATGGTACTCCAGAGAAGAGGAATGAGGCAAGATCTTCTGAACAGATTGGGAACATGGAAAGGGGTGGGGGGAAGTGGGACCTGGGAAGAAGAGAGGGGGAGAAGAGGAAGAGAAAGTAGGTCATGGGGAAAGAGGAAGGTTGAGTGGGGGGGGATAGAATAGGGGTAAGTGGGAATCATAGGTTAGAAGACAGATCTGGCACCAGTGAGACCTCTAGTGATCTAAAGGGATGACCCCAACTGGCAAGCTAAGCAATAATGGAGAGACCACCTTGAATGCCCATTCCTGATAATGAACTTGATGTCTATAACCATCTGGGAGCCTTCATCCAGTGACTGATGGAAGCAGAGGCAAACATCCACAGTTAAACACTGAAGTGAACCCATGGAACCCAGTGACAGAGAGAGAGGAGCGATGAGCAAATTGGCAAAGAATGGGCTGGCAAAACCAGCAGAGACAGCTGATCTGAACAGGGGAGAGCTCTTGGACCCCAGACTGACAGTTGGGAGGCCAGCATGGGACTGATCCAGATCCCCTGAGTGTGAGAGTCAGTGAGGAGGCCTGGGCAACCTATGGGGCCCTGGACAGTGAATCAGTGTTTATCCCTGGCATACAAACAGACATCGTGTGTCCATAACACAAAGAGGGATGCTCTCTCAGCCTGGACTCTTAGGGAAGTGCCTGGAACCTGCCCTGAGTGAAATGGCAGACTCTAGATATTCCCTATGTGGAAGGAAGTGGCGATAGTGTGGGAGGCTGGGGGAGATGGTGGGGGGGTGCAGAAGGAGGAGAGGGAGAGGGAACTGGGATTGACATGTGAATTAAACTATTTAAAATTGAAATAATAAAAAAAGAAAAACCAAAAAAAAGAAACATGAAAGCTTCACATGTCAATTCAAAATCCCTCTTACACCCCTCCTCCCTTGTCCCTCCCCCAGCCTCCCCCAGCCCCCCACCCAATCCCCACATTATTTCCCAGAGAGGGTGAGGCCCTCCTTTGGGGGAAATCTCTAACATCTGTCATTTCATCCAGGGCAGGGCTTAGGCCCTTCCCCATGTGTCCAGGCTGAGAGAACATCCCTCTATTTGGAATGGGCTCCCAAAGATCATTCATAAACCATGGTAAACACTGATCTACTACCCAAGGCTCCAGTGATTTTTGTGGCCTCCTCATTTGAAATGATTTTTTATTAAAAAATATTACATTAGCCTATGTTGCCATTGTCTGACAGAAGTACTACTGGTTATATGGTGACATGATAAAGATCACCACCATGCTGTCAAGAGTTCATTTCACCTTTAGGCATGGTTATCTTAAAGTGTTAGGAAGTGTAATTTCTGGTCTGGAAAAACCTATGTAAGCAGTTTTTACTTATGGGTGACAATTCCATACAGAACTCATTCAGGTGAATTGGGACAGAGGTACATAAATCAAGATGGTTTGGGGATTAAGTGAAGTCTGCAAAGATCATTTATTTTTAACTCAAACATCAAAAAATAATGCTTCATGTTAAGGTTGAGACATAAAGAAAATAAGGGGTACAAGATTACTGAATAGAATTATATTTTGTTCCATAGATGTAAGGACCACATATGATTTTGATGTGAGAAGATACAGGATAAGGGTTCAGGAAGACCATGAACTATAATTCAATGCCTCATTCAGTTCCTAAGTTTAGGTACAGTGGGAAACCACCAGTCTCATCCTGCAATAGTTCGCTATAAAATAATGACACTGGAATAGGTCAATCATTTTAGAATGACCATACATGGGGAAGATGAATGTTTGCTCACAAACACATATGTATACTTTGAAAATATGCTTTTTTAAGCAGTATTATATATTGTTTTGCTCCCACTTTCCTTTCTCCTGACTCTGTATGTAAAAATCTCATCAAGGAGAAATTTAAGCAAAGAATGTAGAAGTTATAAAGAAAACAAAAGCACAGTATAAAAGCGTATATTAGTGAAGTTTTAAATGGTTGTGCATTAAAGTTGTATGCTTCAGGATCCAAATATTAATGCCCCAGATTTTCAAAAATTTCACAGATATTTTCAAAACAAATTTAGATTACTTGTCAAGGGTCAGCTCATTCTAACTATAGATAATTTAGTAAATGTTCGGCACATCTATTTCGATGAAAAGCATTTTTTAACAAAAATCACAGAGATAGCAGCGAGTGTGTTAGATTTTCTCTAAGAGAGAAATATTTCTATTGTTGTCCCCAATTCCTAAATTATGTGTGTGTATATATAATATCAATCATCTCAATTCATCGGTGCTCCCTGATTTGAATTTCACACAAAAATATACAGTCTATTACTAGTAATTTCAAATAGGAATAAAACATAATAATGATTACCCAGGATACAGCTGGAAGGCTATGGATTAACATCTGTACTATTTCTCAATGTAGCCAAGCCATATTTGAATAACAAAAGGATATTTTTCTGTGTATTTTGTTATAAGAATTGATAATAATGATGCTTTGCATTTGCTATAAATAACACATTCCGTCTAAAGTTTTGTTTTCTCTTAGTTAACCAAGCACACTGCATGGAAATTAACATTAGCATAAAGGGCACCATATTTCGGCATTCATTAAGGCAATGCAAGACTTCAGTGCTTGAAATATTTGGTTTCATGATGTACAGGGAGAGATTTGATCATCCTTAGCAGTCTGGGTGTAGGAAGCAGATAGCTTATCTTTTAAACCTTTAGACTTCGGTCACCAATGTGTTTGAGGAATAAAAGAGGTGTTTTGTTTCAACCAAACTGTGGGTGCCAGCTTGCAGGAAACAAAGACACAAGAGGAGACCTTAGAAAGCATCCAAGTCTAGTCTAAGTGCACTGGTCACAAAGACATTCTCGAGTCTCTTGAAAGTCCACAGAAACTCTGTGTTTGCCATCTTCATAGCCTGAAAGATAAAGTTCATCCTTAGATCTTTCACAGAAGTGGTTCTGTGTCACTAGAAGAATGAAAGTGATTTTAGTCTAAAAAGGTAAAGGGATGT